ATGTAGTTGTGTTTACTGCTGCCATTCCCATTTATTCATTACAGTCTGCTACAGACACAAGCTGGTCTTGTTTTGTTTTCTGAGTTAAAGTTTTCCTTTTTGGCTACCAGCTAGCAGGATTTTTTTCAATGCTAAAGTTTTTCCCCTCGGCCACAAGCTGCTTGTTGCCCTGCATGTTAGTTTGCTACTTGAGAAAAATTGAATCCTAAGCCTGTTCGTGAATATGTAACTGAATTCTGACACTGTTGCCCAGTGAGTGGTTTGGGGTCCAGGGAGGCATTGTGCCAAATGTGAAGGCACCTGTTGCAGTTGTAGTGATTTCATGAAAAGTGAAGAGAAGGAGAGTGGGCAAGCACATCCATGTACCAGACTGAGGCTGAGAATTCACTCAACAGGTATACATTTGTTTCTTGCTATTGTGATTTGGAAACATTGAGTTTCTTGATTGGGCAGAAGTTAATTGAGAAGGGAAAATTAATATGGCGAGTTGGGAAATTAATGAGATTCAAATGCATGTATGCAGGTTTCTTGCCAGCTCATGGTTGACCTCACCATCTCAGGAGGAACACTGACTGAATTATAATAGCTTTTCTTGATGGTGAAGATTTGATTTTTGCAATCTGATCTGATTAAGGCATCACGCTTGCTTTTATTCCTGCCACTTCCTAGAGGGGAAAACCACACTTAGGCGTACGCTTGATAATGGAAACAAAGGGTGTTGGTGTTAAATTACAATATGACGTTTAGAATGTGCTTACTAAATAACTTTTGATCATATGACCATTCAATTCTGTGGCGATTAAATGATCCAATTAGTTGAGTAAAGATCCTTACTTCTTGCTTTCTAGCAGTGCAATTTGCTGGAGCTAGCCCTGTAACCTACCTAATTGTTCTGTATTTGTTCAAGAGGTTTGAACCAATGGTAATATAGGCCATCCGAATTAGCAAGGTATTTCCAGATTTCAATCTAAAGAGTCATAATTGTCCCAGGTGACCACATGAATGATGCTCATTGGTATTCACTGCTGTGTTGTCATTGATTGAGGTAGTATGACAAAACTTATGGTTGATCTGGGATATGCCTTGTTCCTCAGTTTCTGGTAACGTTAAGACCATTGCAAAGAGTGTCCTTGTAATGGACTGAGAAAGAGGATTTGCATCTTTTTGTGGTTTCATTGATATATCTTGGATGACAAGAAGTCTCTTTGTACTACATTCCAAGATCATGAACGGAATGTAAATTGGGAGGAAATAATTTAACATTTCTGACAAAATTGCACCAAATGCAACCCACAACATATCAACTGACTACTGTTGTATTAATATTATGATATTTGAATAATGAAATTATTTCAAAGATACTGCAGCTTTATTACTGAATTATTGGTATTGAATGAGTTTGTTGGATGTTGAGTCATGTAAAATGTTAAATGATGAACATAATGGATGTAGACTTTCCTAGTGATCCTGCTGATGAAGGCGATACCATACAGATAATACTATCATATTAAACCCTGTATAGTGAATATTATTAGTTCATTGATATCTACTGTAATCCAAAGAAGATGGATAATACCCCATCTACCTTTTCACATACACTGCAGTATTGCCATTATGACATGAGTTTTGCTAGCCTTCTTCCTATTTGCCTTTCTGTCTTTCTACCTCCATATGTTTACCTTGAGATTGACTGTCCTTATTTGTACTATATCTGTGTACTGACAGTTTTCACAAATTGCCATTCTTTCATTATTAAAAAATGTAGAAGCTGTCCGGTTTCTTCCCAAATATGTACAGGCTAGGTGGATTGGCGATGTTAAATTGCTCGTAGTGTCCAGGGATGTGCAGGCTAGGTGGGTTAGCCATGGTAGATGCAGGGTTACAGGGATAGAGTAGAGGGGTATGTCGTGAGGGATGCTCTTCGGAGAGTCGGTGCATACTTGTTGGGCCGAATGGCCTGCTTCCACATAGTAGGGATTCTATGATTCTATATTGAATGAACATTGATAAAAACACAAACAGGCCACAATTTTTGGGTGTTCAAAGAGTGTATCAAAAGTTAAGTTCTACGTTTATGTATGTACTCAGTATATTTTGAAAACTATTCCAGGCTCTCTTATACTTCATCTTCCCCATTTTTCCACGAGCGAACGTAATGTAGCAGCTTCTTACAGCTTCGTAATAGCTAATAAACAAATTACATGTATTGCTATGCAGTTACAGTGACATTGAGGAAAATGAAATAAGATTTTGTAACATTTCTAAGCACAGTCAAACCTCACTTGCTGCTGAGTTGACCAGAATAAAACAATAAACACTGTACTTGGAACCTTCTAAATACAATCAACTTTGTTTTCAATCTCAGTCTGATTCACTGGTTGAACTTGGTAAGCCTAGAGGTTTGCAAAGGTTGGTGAAGTTGCCAAGACAGCAGCCAGTTTATTCCAAAATAGCAATTTACAAATTCTCCCTATAAATTGTTACTTTAGCTACATATTTATGTGTTTTAGTTAAATTTCAGCATTATAGCCCATAATAGTTTAAAACAAATTGGCTTTAATATTCTAAAGTTATTTTACTTATTCGATATGTTTTGTTAGTTTTGTTGATATTTTGTAGAAAAATGATTCTCCTTTTCCTTCTCAACTTGATTGCACCAAACCAAAAGGTAACTTTAACGTGTTTATTTCCTAAAGTGCATGGTTATAGTCACTACAGCACTATTTTGATACTATTTCTTTTTCTCCAGTATCATATCATTTGTATCAGAAGCAAGCATATCCCTGTGAAATTTACATTAATGTATGGCATTTGTAATTTGTGATATTTAAATCATTTATATGCTTGCAAGTAGAACTCACAACAGTAAGTTTCTTCTTAGCTTTTACATTGCCCTAAAGCTTTAAACTGTGGGTCAGTTGTAAAGCACTTGACATTCTGTTGATCTGTTAATATTTGTAGAATTACATCTTTTATGACATATCGGATATATTAAATGAACTGGTATTTATTTATCATGCGTTTAGACTTACTATTATCTGTTTTGATAGGGAAGGAACTTCAGCAATAAAACCATTGTCCCTACTGTAAAACCAATGAGAAACACAAACCCTTAATTGTATCAAACTCTATTAGTTTATTATTACTAATAATTATTATTGATTTTTTAAAAAAATCTCATTAAACATTTATGCAATATCAACCACTTTGCTCTAAGGAATCAATAGCACAGCTGCCTAGTTTTGGCAGTAGTATATCCATGATTAGGGTATATACTGAAATCCAAATCCCCATTCTAATCTAAACTATTATCTAAACTATCTAAGCTTGTTTTTGCACATATGAATATAGAAAGCCTCATGTTCAATTATTAGCCTACTTTTAAAAGAGGAGGGAATACAATACCGAAAGATCTGACTTCTTCATCATCATCATCATAGAATCCCTACAATGTGGAAACAGGCCCTTCAGCCTAACAAGTCCACACCGACACTCAGACCATCCCACCCAGACCCATCCCCCTATAGCCCAGCTAATCTACACATCCTTCAACACTATGGGCAATTTAACATGGCCATTATGCACTTTCCAATACAGAGCACTATTGGGAGTGCATCTTCCAGTTTATATGCATTCCAGACTGCTCCAACCAATAAGCATTTTTAACGTAATAATCAAAGTGCAAATTCCAACTATGCCACATATTGAACTGTCATGTTGCGCAATGATGACTGTTTTGGGCTAACTGCTCTTGTAGTCTGTTAGATGCTTTTTTAGAAATGCAGAGGCCAATAAAAATATTTTTTATTTTACAGATTTATTCACTAGTCCATGGAAAATAGTCTGATTATTTAAATTTTTCAATTTTACAAATTTGTAAATATTAAATAAGAGATGTGAAACTATCACACGTATTCAAGAAAACATCAGGAATCACAGTCTTTACAAACATGCCTTTATATCTCACAAAGGGCTCATAATCAAGATTTTCAGCTTTTTCAGGGAAAATTAATTGAATAGTGGAATGAAATCCTTAAAATATTGATTCCAACACTCCTGAAATGATGTTGACCTAGTTGCTTGCCATAAGGAAATAGTTTTAATTATAATATGATACTTTAAGTTATTAGTTATAATAAGTTAGGCGAATTCACCTTTAATTATAACAGTATCTTTAAAATACCAGTAGAAATTCCAGAATGCTGCAAAATAATAACAAAATTTGTATTATGCTGTGACCATGAATATTTAGTCTTTTTATTACCTGTTGAAGTAAAGGACACATCAGTTCCTTCCCTGGTAAAGAAAATACAAAATTGAACATATTTTAATACTGAATTGCTTAGCGACTGCATAAGAAAAATGCTGTTGTTAATGAACAATGGAATTGGCTCAAAATTACCTGTAACTGTTTTAATGTTTTTAAGAAACTCAGATATTTAAAATGCCAATATACTAGACTTTCACAAGTTATTTCTTTGATTAAAAAGAATTGTGAAATTCATGAGAGCTGCACTTTAAGCCAATCCAAAGTATTTATATCTTAAAAAAGCTCAGCCCATCCTCCGTGTAGTTTCAGGAACAATGAACTTTGGTAATGGAACCAGAAAGTTCTGTAGCTTTTCATTCCCTGAACTCCACCATGCCAAACAAGACTGACACAACCCCAAATGCCAACCACAACATAGTAAGACATTAACGAAGGGCATACAGGTAAAGTAATTAGGACAGTAATCAGTAATAATTTATAATAAAATCTAATTCTGGTGGCTTTCCCATTGCATGCATTTTTGTAGTGGTTTCAAAAAAGGATGAGTCAGTAGCACTTGACTGCTTCTGTACATATTTTGCTGATAACTATAGGTTAAACTTACGTGTTGCCTTTGATTCATGCTTTATGAAACTTATGGTGCACAGTTTCCCTTTAAACACACTTAATGCTTATTGAAAATGATTGATATAATAATGATGATGTAACTTGAGTACAATTCCTTCCACAGTGGGCAAGCCTCACAAGTGCAACTACTGTGGTAGAAGCTACAAACAGCGCAGTTCACTGGAGGAGCATAAAGAACGCTGTCACAACTACCTGCAGAATGCCGGCGTGGAGGCTACACAGCCCATGAATCACCAGGGTGGGTGGGATGACGTGAAGGAGTTCCAGTTTGTAGTGACTCCTCAATAGTTTTACCTTGAAACTCTATCTTTTCTATCTTGATACTGTATCCAATTTTAGATATTATTAAGTATGTTTTCTGTCATAAGCAGAATGGCCAGCCAACGCAATTAGTTTTTATTATCAAAACTACTATTACTAAAAGGAAATAGTAAAACAGAGGCATCCTGATGTGGGCATGGTGTTACTGCACAAACTATATTTTCCTACTACACATAATGTTATGATTAAATATTAATGTGAAAAAGTGAGTATTACCTTTTCAGATTTTCCTATTAGTGTTTTCTGACCCAAGTATTTCCATTCTGGTAGTAATGTTTATTCAGACATTTCCAAAAGAAATATTCAATTCCAGTAACAAGCTGTTGACAGTTCCTGTATGTGTTCTTCCAGAATGGAGGTAAATTCAATGTTCAACGAATTCAGAGAAAAAGATCAGAATGTGTCTTCTTATCCAGGTGTCAACTGTTTTTTTTAATTGGGTCACTGTTACTAAATGGAAAACCTGAAATACATTAAAAATATGAATCCACAGTATGATCAAACATTTAAAACAGCTCGCAATTTGATGCTTCCAGATTGACAGGGAATATTAGCTGAGTGGCCTGTGTCTGTGCTGTGAATCCTGTCTAATGTGATGTAAAGTTGTAGGTTACATTCTGGAAACAACTATGGTCATCTTAAAATTAAGATTTTTTTTGTGAAGTTAGGATTAGTTTTTCAATTTTTTAAAAAAACTTTTTCCAGTTTGGCATTATGTTTTGGTTCACCATTCAGTTCTGAATGATTGCAGGTTGCTGCTCGTTCCAGGTTTGCAACTTGATAATTTTCCCAATTATTTGGAAATTAAGTCTCCCCCCTCACTCCTTCTCACCCCAAGAAAAATGTTGCCGTTTGGTATTTGTGCATAATTTCATTGCCGTTTAAAACCTGAATGAAAGTTTTCTTTCTTACACCTCTAGTACCTTTTGGTTTTAGTCCTATGATACATTCAATTGCTTGCAAAAAAAGGGACCACACAGACAAGTTTCCTTCATGAATCTGATACTTAAGGAAGAAAGAGACATTTTGTTACTAGGAGATATGATAGTTGTCCAGATGATTCTTTCTGACTTTTAAGAACATAGGATTTAGGAACAGGAGTCAGCTATTCAGGCCTTCAAGGCAGCTCTATCATTCAACATGATGGCTGATCTGGTTGTGGTCTCAACTCAACTTTCCTGTCTAATCCTCATTACCTATGATTTTCTTGTGTATTAAAAATCAATCTAACTTAGCATTAAATGAATTCGCTAATTCACCCTTCACTATTTTTCTGTGGGAGAGAATTCCACATAGTAACAACCCTCTGAGCAAAAAAATTCTCATTGTCTCTGCCTTATAAGGTAGCACTCTTATTTTTATACTGTAGCCCTCGTTCTACTATTCTGGCCAAGACAAAACATCTTTCTGTATCCACAATGAACCTGTAACTATGATGTGTTGTAAGATAAGAGCTCTGGACAAGATAAGAGCTCACAGTGTGGGGCAACGTATTAGCATGGATGAAGTTTTTTTAGGATCTTTTACATTCAACTAAAATCACTTCTCATACTTCTAAGTTTCACTGGGTACAGGCCAATCTGTTCACTCTTTCATCATGTGATAAGCCCTCATTTCAGGAATCAGTTGTGTGGCCCTTCTGTGAACTGCTGGTAGTGCTATTATGTCCTTTTTAAAATAAGAAGACCAAAACTGTATGAGGTACCCCAGATGTGTTTTTACCATGGCCCTCTACAGCTGTAGTACAATTTTTTGACTTCAATATATTCTGTTCCCCACACATGCCAACATTACATTTGCCTTTCTAAACATTTACTGTGTCTAAATACTGTTTGCAATTCATGTACCAGGACACTCAGTCCCTCTGTACCACTGTATTCTGCAATTTGTCTCCATTTAAATAGTTTACTGTTGTTCCATTCTTCTTGCCAAAGTGAAGTTCACATCTTCCCACATTGTATTACATCTGCCAATTTTTTACCCACTCACTTAACCTACCTATCTTTTTGCTGACTTTCTGCATCCTTTTGACAACTTATTTTCTTAACTCTTTGATGTGATCAGCAAATTTAGCTGCCTTCAGTCCCTTCATCCAAGCCATTGACATTGATTTTGTAAATAGTTGAGGGTTGAGCTTAATGATCTGTGTGGCATTCCAGCAGATACAGCTTGCCAACCCAAAAAATATCAATTTATTCCTACTGCTTGCTTCCTTTTAGCTATAACCAATCAATGCTAATATGTTACCTCATACCATGAACTCTTATCTTGTACAGTAACTTTTAATACAGCACATTAGCAAGTCCTTTTTTGGAAATCCAAGTACATCATAGCTGCAGGTTTATTTTTCTCATCAATTTCCATCAGTGAGATTCTGAGCAGAATGTTCATTTGCCTGACTGGAGAAAGGCAAGCCTGCAATTTCCTGCTATCGATAAGTGTACCAATCTGCTGATATGGTGTTGCCTCCAGGCCGTTTTTGTTCAGGAAGTGGATAAGAGCTACTACTCACAAGTCACAGGTTGCTCATTAAGCTGTTTAACAGGCCTAATAAGCCTGGAATTTTCAGTTGGCACCAGAAATACCACTGAAGAATGTACATGGCCGAGAAATGGAGATGACCTCCCAATAGTAGGCAAAGGGAAGTGGCAGTGCTCCGTTGGTCTGGGAGACTTCCCCTCACCTTCACCTTTCATAGCCATTGGATACATCTATTGCCATTAGACCTTCGTGATGATGGCTTGGAAGCTATAGCCTTTTTGAATTTAAAAATTTTGACCTCTTCAGAAATTGCCTCAAAATTTAGCCCATTAACCCTCTGCTTGACAATCTCCCTCCCTTGTTTGGCCTCTGTAGGATTAATACTACAAGGAGTCACAAGTCTTTGATTTTTCTTTTTCAGATGTTCCTGATAATAGTGGAAAATCACTCACTAGAAATGTTCTTTATTACCTCGGTCAGCAAAAGACTAACGGATTTAAGGAAACAATCCATTTAAAAAGCAGAGGGAATGTTTTGTGTCTGCTCATGGTTGTCTGAGATTGGATAGGTTGCAACGATTTGGTGCTATCATTTCTCAGCCAAACTGCATTTAGGCAAAATAGTTAGCAGTACAGCATTGCATTTCTAAAATGCTGCTGTTCCCCGATCCACTGCTTATTAAGAATTAGTCTGTACACTTTAATCTTGCCTCTTTGCACAATTAATTTCTTTATTTTCTATTCCTTAGCAAAATGTTTAATTTCCACCGTATAATTTTAGTCATAAAACTCAGTTCTTAAACACATACAGGAGGCATTGTGTCAGGTTATTGTTTGCTGATTTTTTTTTCACGGATATTAGTTGAATTAAATTAATTGGGGTCAACAGTGTCCTTTATTAGCATATATATAAAATGTGGATTTTTTTTCTGTTTGAATCAAGTAATACAATATGTGTTCATCTGATAAATATAATAAAGGGAGTAGAGAGTTAGAACATAAAAGTTTTGGCTGTTTTTAACACAGCAGCAATATCCTTTGTCAGTTATAACATAAAACATCATACCATTTAAAACTACAAAAATTATGGGTGTACTTGACAGAAAATGAAAGTTCAACCAACAAATTAACTTTAATTTACTTTTCCAGTAATAATATATTTTCATGTGGTGACAGAACATAATCATTTAGCATTGCCTTAAGTTTCCAAATCTTAATTTACATGTAAAAGTTTGTCAAGCTTCAATATAGTCAAGCAAAAAACACCATTTGTCCTCATTGCAATATTTCAAAGAAATTGCATTAGTTATTGAAACATAATGCTGTTGAAACGTAACAATTTGAATTCTTCTGAAAATTGAGACATTCTATTACATTTAAATATGGCCCGTATACTAGAAATGAAGTCTTTTGTAAGAGCACTTTATCTCCTCTGATAAACTAATCCCTGTATTTCTAAAATATTCAGCACTTTAACTGTTAATTTTAACAGCATTATATTATTAATATAACAATTTAAAAGAGATACTTAAAATAAAAACTTCTGTGGATTGATGTTTTCACATTTTGAATGTTCACTGTTCTCTGCAGCAGATGAGTACAAGGAGCAGGATCCAGTAGCAGATCACATTCCTTTGATGTCATTTGAGAGACCTGCAGTCATAGAGAGGCTATCAAGCAATGTAGGAAAGCGTAAAAGCTCCACACCGCAAAAATTTGTTGGTGAGATTTGCTGTCTTTCTTTACTAACAATAATGTAATGGCAAAATAGTAATTAACTGCCTGTTCAAAGCTGACTATACTGAAGAGAGAACAAAGGATAGATTTATCACAAGTTGCTATTTGATTGGACAATTTGCTGTTGTTTGCTGAATGCAAATATTTAAACAAATATTAGCAATTAATTCACTGAATTGGTATGCTATACTATTGCATAAAAATAAACAGTTGAATTGTCATGGTCATACTGACACTACCTAGGTAGTGTCTCCCACCCATCCTCCTCCTCTAACCTAAAAAAAAGGTTCTGAGCGCTGATTTGGTAAGGCTACTAGTTTTTTTTTAATAGTCTGTTTGGGAATTCAGAACAATGGGAATAGATGTTAGGGCAGTTGCATGCTCCTCCTGTAGAATGCGGGAGGTAAGGGTCACCACTAGTGTCCCCACTGACTTCATCTGCGGGAAGTGCACCCAACTCCACCTCCTTGGAAACCGCGTTCAGGAACTGGAGCTGGAGCTGGATGAACTTCGGATCATTCGGGAGGCTGAGGGGGTAATTGAGAGGAGTTACAGGGAGGTAGTCACATCTCAGGTACAGGAAAAAAGTAGATGGGTTACAGTCAGGGGACGGAAAGGGAACAGGCAGACAGTGCAGGGATCCCCTGTGGCCATTCCCCTCAAAAACAAGAATACCGTTTTGAATACTGTTGGGGGGGACGACTTACCGGGGTAAGCCATGGGGTACAGGTCTCTGGCGCAGAGTCTGTCCCTGTTGCTCAGAAGGGAAGAGGGGAGAAGAGGAGAGCATTAGTCATTGGGGACTGTATAGTTAGGGGGACAGATAGGAGAATCTGTGGGAACGAGAGAGACTCGCGGTTGGTGTGTTGCCTCCCAGGTGCCGGGGTCCGTGATGTCTCGGATCGTGTTTTCGGGATCCTTAAGGGGGAGGGGGAGCAGCCCCAAGTCATGGTCCACATAGGCACCAACGACATAGGTAGGAAAAGGGATGGGGATGTAAGGCAGAAATTCAAGGAGCTAGGATGGAAGCTTAGAGCGAGAACAAACAGAGTTGTTATCTCTGGTTTGTTACCCGTGCCACGTGCTAGCGAGGCGAGGAATAGGGAGAGAGAGCAGTTGAACACGTGGCTACAGGGATGCTGCAGGAGGGAGGGATTCAGATACCTGGATAATTGGGGCTCATTCTGGGGTAGGTGGGACCTCTACAAACGGGATGGTCTACACCTGAACCAGAGGGGTACCGATATCCTGGGGGGGGAAATTTGCTAATGCTCTTCGGGAGGGTTTAAACTAATTCAGCAGGGGGATGGGAACCTGAATTGTAGCTCCAGTGTACAGGAGGTTGAGAGTAGTGAGGTCATGAATAAGGTTTCAAGGTCGCAGGAATGTACCGGCAGGCAGGAAGGTGGTTTGAAGTGTGTCTACTTCAATGCCAGGAGCATCCAGAATAAGGTGGGTGAACTTGCAGCATGGGTTGGTGCCTGGGACTTCGATGTTGTGGCCATTTCGGAGACATGGATAGAGCAGGGACAGGAATGGTTGTTGCAGGTTCCGGGGTTTAGATGTTTCAGTAAGATCAGGGAAGGTGGTAAAAGAGGGGGAGGTGTGGCATTATTAGTCAAGGACAGTATTACGGTGGCAGAAAGGATGAGGACCGTCTACTGAGGTAGTATGGGCTGAGGTTAGAACCAGGAAAGGAGACGTCACCCTGTTGGGAGTTTTCTGTCGGCCTCCGAAAAGTTCCAGAGATGTAGACGAAAAGATTGCAAAGATGATTCTGGATAGGAACGAAAGTAACAGGGTAGTTGTTATGGGGGACTTTAACTTTTCAAATATTGACTGGAAAAGCTATAGTTCGAGTACTTTAGATGGGTCAGTTTTTGTCCAATGTGTGCAGGAGGGTTTCCTGATACAGTATGTAGATAGGCCAACAAGAGGCGAGGCCACATTGGATTTGGTATTGGGTAATGAACCAGGCCAGGTGTTAGATTTGGAGGTAGGTGAGCACTTTGGTGATAGTGACCACAATTCTGTTACGTTTACTTTAGCGATGGAAAGGGATAGGTATATACCGCAGGGCAAGAGTTACAGCTGGGGGGAAGGCAATTATGAGGCGATGAGGCAAGATTTAGGATGCATAGGATGGAGAAGGAAACTGCAGGGGCTGGGCACAATTGAAATGTGGAGCTTGTTCAAGCAACAGCTACTGCGTGTCCTTGAGAAGTATGTACCTGTCAGGCAGGGAGGAAGTGGTCGAGCGAGGGAACCGTGGTTTACTAAAGAAGTTGAATCTCTTGTCAAGAGGAAGAAGGAGGCTTATGTAGAGATGAGGCGTGAAGGCTCAGTTAGGGCGCTTGAGAGTTACAAGTTAGCCAGGAAGGACCTAAAGAGAGAGCTAAGGAGAGCCAGGAGGGGACATGAGAAGTCTTTAGCAGGTAGGATAAAGGAAAACCCTAAAGCTTTCTATAGGTATGTCAGGAATAAAAGAATGACTAGAGTGAGATTAGGGCCAGTCAAGGACAGTAGTGGAAAGTTGTGCGTGGAGTCTGAAGAGATAGGAGAGGCGCTAAATGCGTATTTTTTGTCAGTATTCACACAGGAAAAAGACAATGTTGTCGAGGAGATTACTGAGATACAGGCTATTAGATTAGACGGGATTGAGGTTCATAAGGAGGAGGTGTTAGCAATTCTGGAAGGTGTGAAAATAGATAAGTCCCCTGGGCCGGATGGGATTTATCCTAGGATTCTCTGGGAAGCTAGAGAGGAGATTGCAGAGCCTTTGGCTTTGATCTTTATGTCGTCATTGTCTTCAGGAATAGTGCCAGAAGACTGGAGACTAGCAAATGTTGTCCCCTTGTTCAAGAAGGGGAGTAGAGACAACCCTGGTAATTATAGACCAGTGAGCCTTACTTCGGTTGTGGGTAAAGTGTTGGAAAGAATTATAAGAGATAGGATCTATAATCATCTAGAAAGGAATAATTTGATTAGGGATAGTCAACACGGTTTTGTGAAGGGTAGGTCGTGCCTCACAAACCTCATTGAGTTCTTTGAGAAGGTGACCAAACAGGTGGATGAGGGTAAAGCGGTTGATGTGGTGTATATGGATTTCAGTAAAGCGTTTGATAAGGTTCCCCATGGTAGGCTATTGCAGAAAATACGGAGGCATGGAATTGAGGGTGATTTAGCGGTTTGGATCAGAAATTGGCTAGCTGTAAGAAGACAGAGGGTGGTGGTTGATGGGAAATGTTCATCCTGGAGTTCAGTTACTAGTGGTGTACCTCAAGGATCTGTTTTGGGGCCACTGCTGTTTGTCATTTTTATAAATGACCTGGATGAGGGCGTAGAAGGATGGGTTAGTAAATTTGCGGATGACACCAAAGTTGGTGGAGTTGTGGATAGTGCAGAAAGATGTTGCAGGTTACAGAGGGACATAGATAAGCTGCAGAGCTGGGCTGAGAGGTGGCAAATGGAGTTTAATGCGGAAAAGTGTGAGGTGATTCACTTTGGAAGGAGTAACAGGAATACAGAGTACTGGGCTAATGGTAAGATTCTTGGTAGTGTGGATGAGCAGAGAGATCTCGATGTCCATGTGCATAGATCCCTGAGAGTTGCCACCCAGGTTGATAGGGTTGTTAAGAAGGCGTATAGTGTGTTAGGTTTTATTGGTAGAGGGGTTGAGTTTCGGAGCCATGAAGTCATATTGCAGCTGTACAAAACTCTGGTGCGGCCGCACTTGGAGTATTGCGTACAGTTCTGGTCACCGCCTTATAGGAAGGATGTGGAAGCATTGGAAAGGGTGCAGAGGAGATTTACCAGGATGTTGCCTGGTATGGAGGGAAGGTCTTGTGAGGAAAGGCTGAGGGACTTGAGGCTGTTTTCGTTAAAGAGAAGAAGGTTAAGAGGTGACTTAATAGAGACGTACAAGATGATCAGAGGATTAGGTAGGGTGGACAGTAGGAGCCTTTTTCCTCGGATGGTGGTGGCTAGCACGAGGGGACATAGCTTTAAATTGAGCGGTGATAGATATAGGACAGATGTCAGAGGTAGATTCTTTACTCAGAGAGTAGTAAGGGCGTGGAATGCCCTGCCTGCAAAAGTAGTAGACTCGCCAACTTTAAGGCATTTAAATGGTCATTGGATAAACATATGGATGATAATGGAATAGTTTAGGTTAGATGGGCTTCAGATTGGTTTCACAGGTCGGTGCAACATCGAGGGCCGAAGGGCCTGTACTGCGCTGTAATGTTCTATGTTCTATCTATGTTCTATGACAGATTTTTTGGGATTTGGAACATGGCTGATATTGTTGGCTGCTAAATGGAGCCACACTTAACTTGGTTTCCATCCTCAAAATCAGTCCTAGATGTTTATTTACTACCAGTGAGGTTTAAATGAGCACCTCTTGACATCAACTAAACACTCAACACTTTAGAGGGGCTCTTACGGTGCAGTGGTAGTGTTCCTCCCTCTGAGCCAAGGGAGCCCTGGCTCAAGTTCCACGTGCTCCAGAGGTGTTTAATACCATCTCTGAACTGGTTGATTAGAAAATGCCTAAACTTACTATGAAGGACATTTCAGAGGGGCTCTCGAGATGCAGTGGTAGTGTCCCTACTTCTGAGCCGAGAGACAAGGTTCAAGGCCCATCCTACAAGGGTTTGTCACACCATCTCCGAAAAGGTTGATTATAAACTATATGAAGGAAGCATTTTGATTATGTTTGTAAATTCCCCAGGACTGCTGAAGACAAGCCAGGTATTAGAAGTAAAAATTGACTGGTTTTATGTCTCTTCTAAAATAACAATTTTTAATCAAAATTTAGTTTTAATGTATAATGAATACACTCCTGATCCAATACACATTCACATGCACACACACTCTCAAGTGTCATGCATTTAACTTCTGGGAATCTCACACACTCTGTTACAGATGCAACACAGTCATATAAAAGAAGCAAAAAGAAAGCCAATTAGCAATCTGGAAATTACATGAGCAGTATTTGTCATTTAAATGACAATTAAGCTTTATCTTTCTTATCAAAAATCTTGTTGCTGAGTTGCTAACTTGTAGCTTCAGACACATTCCAAGACTAGACTGCATTTTTTAGGCTAGTACTTCAGGGCAATATTGAGGGAGTGTTATATTGTTGAATGTGCTGTCCTTCAATAAGAAATTAAACTGGAGAGAAATCCCATGAAACTATTCAAAATGAAGAAAGATTCTCCCAATTTCCTATCTAATATTCATCTCTTAAGCAGCACCATGAATCGATTGCTTCTGGTGTATTTGGTATATGTTTCCTTGCTCTGCATCACCATGTTAACCTACATAGCTTGTACTCTTCCAACCACTTCCTCCACAGATTTACCTGTGGATGAATTGATCAGGTCCCAAGCATTGGGCTGTCTGATTAGTACCCACAGCTTGCAGGAATTATGATAATGTGGCCTGAAGACCAATCTGGAACTAATCTGGGAACCTTCTGTTTTGGCAAACATTGGCTGTTATTCATGTCTGGATGGAATAATGAATTTAGCTCTGATGATGTTATATTCAACTTGAAACATTGACTGTTTCACTCTGCACTGATACTACCAGACCTGCTGAGTACTTCCAGCACTTTCTGTTTTTATTATAGGAGAGAGAACAGATCTCTTTGGGAACAGTCATACAACAAACTACAACTTTAACTGGAGTGATTTGAAAGGAAATTAGAAAGCCATTGACATAAGATTTGTGGGAGAGTATATGATGTTACTCTGTTTTGAAGAGCATTGTGCCAAACTATACCAAGGCCTTATGGATTTACAGGGTTTTCAAGATTGTACCTTCAGAGATGACGTAGCTACTAAAATCACCAGTGGAATAACCATGCAATAAGTCAAATTGGCACTCAGGTAATCTTAATCTGCTAGTTAAACACAGATTTTCATAATCTTGGAAAGTTTCAGACTGTAGCCAGAGAAGGGTAAAAGGAATGAACTTTTTTTAAGGATTAGATGAGCGTAAGCAAATGTCAAGAAGGAAGTATGGTAGGAGAAAGTGTATAGATGCTGTGGTGATATTTGATTTTAACCAGGATGTTGTAATGAAAACAAAGAGACATAAACTTTTTTGTCCAGTTTATTGACTACACCAAACCAGCAGCTCTTACACATCCAGTTGTAGCTGTATCCCCCTTTTTAAAAAAAAAATTAACCTATTGTGGCACATCTCTGGGGGAAGTGCGACTTGAACCTGGACTTTATGGCGCAGACATAGGGACACTACCACTACCGTAGCTCCACAAGATCCTGTTTACCCTTTCTATAGCTTCACCCTTCATATATCTATATATCAATTGACAGCTGTCACCTATTTTCTTTCTAACCTTCATTATCAGGCCCCATCTTGTATTTAAATAATTTTTTTTTAATATACAAACAAAATAAAAGGAGATCAGAATGATTTATTTCCGTGGTCCTTGTCTTGTCTTGTATTATAATATATTCAACCTTCCATATTTAATATTCTCCCATCTTTAAAGAAAAATATACGTTATGTACAATTTCAAAGCAATCCAAACAATGTTACTTTTCCTATGTTCTTATAATACAAGATGTACCTCTTCAAGAACATCTGATAATTTCTTCAGGCACACATTCCCCTTCGTAAAACAGTCTATCAATTGGTGACTTGCATTGACACTTTTCTTTTAGAGACCTCGTTTCTTTCCCACATTTCACACGAGTCAACTCTCAACTTTGTCTCTGCAACACTCTTTGTCGAATGAACATTGTCTACAAAGAACTATTATCTACAAGGTATTCCGTGAGCAGTCTTTTTTTGCCCCAGATTACATCTTGTGCAAGATTTCTTTCAAAATTTTAGACACGTATCACCCATATCTTGGTTCCAATAGTTTCAGTGTTTAGCAGCTAAGGTCCTTTTAATTACCTCTTACCTCCTTATATTTTCTTAGTTTCTCAGGCCAATCATTAGCACAATATTTATGGTTGTTTCCAATCAAAAATATGATAAACTCTGCCATAATAGAATATCCATTAAGATGATTGGCATGTTGAGCGTAACCATGATGACTAGCATCATATCTTTTGGATTATCCAAGGCTGGAAACTTGGGTGCATATTTCTCTGAATTTAATTTCTTCTCTGTTTAAGTTGATCTGAGAACTTCCTCAAATGTAGCATATTTTATCATGGTGCAGTTCCACAAGTGGCATCGCATCCAGATAGCGTACATAACCATTTCAGCTTTATTTTAATTTAACTATTACGTATTGCTCAAATTCTGCAGAAGTTCTCCTCAGAAAAGCATTAACACGTATCATAAAAATACCCGAGATAACAAGGTGTAGAGCTGGATGAACACAGCAGGCCAGGCAGAATCAGAGGAGCAGGAAAGCTGACATTTCGGGCCTAGACCCTTCTTCAGAAATATACACGTTAGTTTATTCTTATGATGCCAATAAAACATGACTGTGTCTACTTTTAACAGAATACAATCTGCTTTCAGCAACAGACCAAACTGAGACATAGCAACACTTGATTCAATCCATAAACATAGTTGTTTATTTTCCATAATTTCAGTTCTGTATCATCAGGGTTTCTGTGGGTGACTTCAATAAAACTTTCCGTTTAAATTTCACCTCGTGAAAATTGTAGTTCTTATATCAACCAAATCACCTTCCCAGAAATATGTTGCTGAAAGAGCTAAGAAAATCTTCAGCCTTACTCTTCTTGCTGTAGAGGAATCAACCCAGAATTTTGGTCAGTAGATCTGTCTTCAAAACCCAAGCCACTAACCTGGGTTTAACCTTCAGGAAGCACTTTTTCTGGATGACAATACAAGGCTGTCTTATCTAGCACCTTAGTGTATAGATCAGTTTTTCAATCCTTTTTGTTTGGCATCCTTTATCAACTTATCTTTTAATTATTAGTGGCTACTAAAACTTTTTAATCATAAACACTTCTACTTCTCATGGTATTCCAATTCTGTTCCATTGTCCTGATCAGACTATGACCTCTAATCGACTTCCTATCGCATTCAAAACTATTACGGCAAAACCACCCCCTCCCGTGGTCAAAACACCCATCACAAGTGCACGATGTTTTCGTACAACTGTGTTCACTTCCAAATTCACTTTCAGAACTTGTTTTCTGGCCTTCCACGTCTTTGCTTCATTTTGCTGATCCAAGGATTTTACCTCCTGTCCCTCATCTTGCACATTTAGGCAATGTTTCTATAGATTGGTGGCTTTCCAGGCTGTCCTGATTATGGTGGCATCCCTCCATTCACTGCATCTTTCTGTCACATATATGCAGACCCTTAGTAGTTGTTCGTATGGATAAATAGCCTATTCTATGCATCAACATCACTTTGTCCATACTCGGTCGGCCCTTCACCTCCCATAATCTATTGCTTATAATTGTTCAAGATATGTATATTGGAAGTGCACAGTACCACATCTATGAATTGTTTTAATTCGGCAAAGGTACAAGCAGTGTCAGTCAACCTCAAGAAATGCACTCTAACAGTGTGATTGCCATATTGTAAAGTTACAATTTATTTTTAATATACTATGACCCTGGATTAAAATTCATTTTTGAAGGCAAATGATGCCATTAAACTCCCACATTTTCTCTGAAACCTTAGTCTTAATGCCCTTCTCCCTTCATGCAGGGTATTCATATGCTAAGAAGAAGTGGAGCTAATTGTAGTCCTTTCCCAAACTGGAGAATAGTCACTTATTACTGACAAAATTTTTGGAATTCTGCAAAAAGCCAATTGATATGGAATGTAGCTCCCAACCATTTGCAGTGAGTTATTTTCATGGACTGACTGCCCATGGACTAGTTGGTCTATTAAGCTTTACTGAAGCATCTCATCTATTACTGCATGATTTATTTCACAAACTCCATTATTAAAGGGACTTTCTGCAGTCATAGTCATTTCTATAATGTTCATATTTTCGCATACATCAATAAAATCATAATTGACAAATCTCACCCCATTGTCAGTGAGGAATCTAGCTCATTGCCTCCAGTCTAGTTTCTGTCCATTTTGCCATGAATTGTCAATAGTCACTTGTTTCCTCTTACTATATGTTGTAGACTGGCTCACTTTGGCAGCATATTTGTTAAAATTGGAATGATACGGAGACAATTAGCATAGCCCCTGGGCAAGGATGACACACAAATTCATGAAGGTTTCCATATTTTTCAGTGCTTTTATGGTGCAGTGGTTGTGTCCTTACCCATGGACCGAGATACCCGCGTTTAAGTCCCACATGCTCCAGAGGTGTGTCATAACATCTCTGAACAGGTTGATTAGAAAAATAAATTAAATTAAAAAGAAAATGTAGATTGGCTAAATCTATTTGCCAAACCAAGAAGTGTGAGATGAAAATGCTTTTTTCCTTATACCATACACACACCATACATACCATAAAGAACTCTTCTTCTCAACCTCTCCCCTCACCTGTGGCACTGTGACCCTCAGGTAAAACTGCATCAGTCATTTCTCTCTAATGGGCGAGCAACCCTATAGTGCTTCACGACTGTGGCAACTTCACATAGCTTTACCAACAAGTCAAGTCAACTTAATACAAGCCCCTTGCTAATGAGATGCTCTCTGTGGGCCATGATTTTGTCCTTCTGTATTTTTGTAACATATATCACACTTATCACTGATCTCATCTCATTGACTGTTAGACCCACATTCTTTTGTAGGGTTTGTCGCTTGTTAGAAGTTGGATGGACATACTCCTTTAAGACAGTCAACTTTTTTTCTTTAAACTCTTATCCTTTTATGCCATTAATACTTCTGTAATGTTTAATTAGATACAGGATGCAATGATGTCCAGGTTGCATGAACTATAATTCCACTAACTTCCCAAAAACACTGCCTTGCTGTGTTCCATGTCCAGTTTCATTCTGAGCCTTTTCAAATTTGGCCTGCTTTAACATTTCACTTGATACACTGTTTGTGCTAATGAAGTGGCTTACCTCTGCTGCATTTTCATAGCACAACCTTCCACACAACTTTGTGTCTTCTGCAATTTGGAGATATCACATTTATTGCCTTCGTCTAAATCATGAATACATATTGTGAATAGCTGCAATCCAAGCACTGATCCCTGTGCTTGTCCCACTAGTCACTTGCTGGCACTAGTAAAAAGATCTGTATATTCTTACATTTTGATTCTTTCTATGAACCAGTTCTCTTCCCATGTTAGTACTCTGTTCCCAATCCGACACACTTTAACTTTACACGCTAATTTCTTACGTGATTTCTTATCAAAAGCCTTTTGTAAGTCCAAGTAAACCATATCCACTGGCACCCCGTAATCAACTCTACTAATTACATACTCAAAAAATTCCAGTATATTTTAATCATGATTTCCCTTTTGTAAATCCATTCTGATTCTGTCTGATCCTGTTACTGTTTTCTAACTGTTCTGCTATTAAGTCTTATAATAGACTCCAGCATTTTTCATACTACTAATGTCAGGATAACAAGTCAAAATTCCCTGTTTTCTCTCGACCTGCTTTTTTTTTATAATATTGGCGTTACATTAGCTACCTACAATCCACAGGAGCTACTCTAGAATCTATAGCATCTTGAAAGATGATCACCAATGCATCCACTATTTCTAAATCTACTTGTTTAAGTAACCTAGATATAGATTATTGGGCCCTGGGGATTTATCAATTTTTAATCTTGTAAATTTCCCCAAAACCATATCCCTACTAATACTAATTTCCTTCAATTCCGCCCTCTCAGTAAATCCTGTGTTCCAATATTTTTGGACATTATTTGTATCCTCATTTGTGAAGACAGACCAAAGTATGTATTTAATAGATTTGCCATCTCATTCCAAACAAATGTATCCTACCATGCTACAATGGGAACACTTTGGCTTCCAATTCTCATCTCCATCCTCAGTACTTTCCTGATCTGAGAAGAAGCCCTTGAATATTCCCAGCTATCCATTCCTTACCTTGGCTGCTTGCCTATCTTTCATTCCCATTTTCTATACCTTTTACCCTATAGGGTAAAGGAACTATTAGAACCAGTAAAGGATCAGACCAAACCCCCTCAAAATATATTCAGAAGGTAGTCTAAACCCTAACTTTTTCTTATTTTAAATGTGAATGTAAAGTGTTGCAATCTAGATGCAATTCAATTTGCCAAAACTACCAGATATTAAGCAAAGCACACTTTATTTATACACTATAGTTAAAATATAACAAAAGAAAGAAGAAATAACTCTATTGGAAAACTTAACTGGATAATAGATTATTTAACTCTAAACAGTAACTGTTCTAATATAGTTACATTCCATAAACGCACCCTTGACAAAGGCAAATTCAGTAAAACAGATTGTCTCACATGTAATGCTAGCGGCCGGAAGAGAACCACCAGATTTTAGCTGTAACTGAGAGGAAAAACAGCTTCTGTGTCCAGCTTCAAGACATCAGCAGTTGCTACTGAAAAGCTAAAGCTAAAATACCCTGGTTTTATGGGAGCATGCCCCAACCATTCAGCTGTTTCTACTGTTCCTACTTTTAAAAGAAAACTCCAACGCCTCACAAGCTGTTTACTTTATGGGAATTTCAATACACAGCTCAATATCTCTATCTTAAAACCTCTTTTCAAAAATACCAAGACAAAATACACCTCTTGAAGCTATAGTATCATTATAGGAACAAAGGATTAGTTTATGGATTAACTCATAATTGCCAGTTGATATTGTTGCCTGTCAAGCAGTTACAACTCTTTGATCCCCAACATGAGTTCTTACTAGATAAAAACCGAAAGAACTGCGGATGCTATAAATAAGAAACTAAAACAAAGTTTCTGGAAAAGCTCAGTGAGGTAGGGTCACCGGACCCGAAACGTTAACTCTGTTTTTTACTTCACAGATGCTGCCAGACCTGCTAAGCTTTTCCAACAACTTTGTTTTTGTTCTTACTAGCTCAGTTGGCTGAATGACTGGTTGGTAATATACAGTGATTCCAACAGCATCAATTCCTGCAGTGGCTGAGGTTATCATGAAAGACTTCATTTCTCAGCCACTCCTATTGTCTGAGGCATGGTGACCCTTAGGTTAAACCACCACTAGTCATCTCTCTCTAATGAGAAAGCAGTTATACGGACTGACAGAACTATATCAACTTTATCTTTAACCACACTACGGAAGGTAGTGAGTTTTTAAATTCCTCTCAGAGAATAACCTCTCTGAGAGATTCATACATGGTTTCACCCTCTAGTGCTCGTATCCACCTGTCAAAATTACTTTGCTGAACCCTTTCAAATGCAACATAGATTTGCCCAAACTGCTTTCTTATATTCTGGAATCTTTACCTATAGATCTCAGGCACTAACTCATATGCAGCCAATATTGTCTTCTTCACTGCATCATAGTGCCAAGAACTCCATATGCCAGGGCCTAGGAAGGAAAGGTAGGCAGCTATAGATGCATGTAGACAGGTTGGGTGGGGACTTGGGGAAGTATGAACTCTTAGGTTTCTAGGGATAAGCTCCTAGGAAGAACATGTAGATATTTAAGCTTCACCGGCACATTCAGGCTGAGACTGGAAGCAGAGGCGCACTCTCTGTTGCCTGTCACCATGATGCAAATCGAAAGTGCAAAATGGGGAAGGAAATGACTGTGACACTCGAGTAGGCAGGGTAAGTGACTCAACCTATGAGGGAGCAGGCTGCAGCAAGCACCAACAGTAGAGCTTTTAAAGGAAAAGAACATTGGTCACAGACCTATGCACTGTAGAGGACACAGGAATGTTCTGAGGAAGGGTCACTGGACCTGAAATGTTAACTCTGATTTCTCTTCACAAATGTTGCCAGACCTGCTCAGCTTTTCCAGCAACTTCTGTTTTTGTACAGGAATGAAGGGTGTTTACTCCCATGTCATCCTACAGCATTGTGTGATGAACTTCCCTGGCCCAACCAATGCACAATACTCTTTGACAGTTATACCACTGCACACACAAGCAGCTGAAGAGTACGGATGTTGTAAATGGAGAGCCAAAGTTGCAAACATTGTCCCCCCGCTTCCAAACAGTGTAGTATGCTGTTGGTGCAAACCTCCATCTACTGAGCCTTGTCTACAGACATGAAGTAATGCCTAATGGTGTAACAATGCATTTAGGCCAACACAGAGAGACTCACAAATACTTGTATGGTTAAAGCACGAACATTTGTTCGTAAGCTGAGAGAGACATACAAGCCATTGTGACTTGTGAAACCAAGGTGCCCCCAATAAGTTTTCTTCTTCCTTTCCCTCCCACTACATCGTAGTGCACTCCCTGTTCCGCAGCTGGGAGAGACGGAGGTTCTTGGCAGTGCAGGTTATTGGGCTTGGGAAGTTGGTAGAGTGATTCCCCCAGTTGTGCTTGTGTCTGGACAGGCCAGACATTCTTATTAGAGGCAAGTTGATCCTCCTTGGCCTGACATTCCAAATGTCAGAGAAAGGGCAGGCAGGGTGAAGATGAAGGACCTGGCCACTTCTGGAGTGTCCTGAGTGGAAACTACCAAGAGGCCTGGCTGTGTTTTCTCCTCTGGATGTGTACCTCCTGACACAACCCTGTCTCCATGTGATGAGGGGGCATCTGAACTGGCAAGTTCCCCCCCCCCCACCCACCGTCCCCCCGTCACTATGCCTTCAGTTCTGAGGACCAGTGGCTGGCACAGTGGAGTTGTGGGTATGTGAGCCCCTCCAGCAACCTCTGAGGGTGCTGGGCCTGGCTATCCACAGTAGTCACTAACCTGTTCAATGAGATAGACAGATGGTTGCATAATTCACTGCACTGAACACCTTCTGTTCAATGAGAGCCATTGTGTCCCACATACCTGTCTGTTACTTCAGTTCCTCTCTGTGCATGTGGATGAATTCCCTATTGCTGACACCACCGTGCCCACCTCTGCCTCGGGCTGGGTAAGAATCTGGTATTTGGCAGTCCTCCGAGTGCCAGCGCCCAGAGGTATTCTTTCCTCGGTTGCTGTGGACCTGTCATAGTGAGGTTCTCACTGGCTTATGTTCCCAGACTCTGTGCTCAATGGTCCCTCTGAAATGTCTGTAACTAAGTTGGTGGAGTTTGCTGGAGACTGCCTAGTCATTGCTTGGCAGTATCATCCTCAGAAGTCAAAGAGATGGCTTCCATGGAAGCCAGGTGTTTCTGTGAAGAAATCGTGGGGAGGCTAGTGGAAACTGCAAGATATAAGAGAGACAGCGTCATGACCAGTGGTTAAGATGATGTGCGATGAATGAAACTGACAATATGGAAGAATGGCAGTGGCATGCAGAATGGTGCTTGCTTGTCAGGCTAAACATAGAAGTCTCTGCATCCCCGCAGGACAGTCCCAGTCTTCTCCTGTGAGGATAAGGATTCTCTGCTGGTAAAGGATGAAAAGCCTAATGTCAGGCACCATCGCCCATTCAGCTTCACTTAGCCTGGCAGAGTAAAGAAAATCATTCTCGTTTTTTGTGGCATTGCTGGCTATTCCTTTGGAACCTGGAAATGGCACTGATGTAGATGGTGACCTCAGACCAAGCTGGCAGGATCTGGTGGTATGGCTCCCTCAAACGTTCCTCCTAGGAAAGAACACCTCTCCTTTGCACCACCTATCTACCAAGACCTCCAGGTCCCTGTTCAAAAATCATGGTGCCATCTTCCCCATCTCCACAATGTTCCAACTCTGCCTATCAACAAACATGGTACCTTCGAAGGCCAGTATTCCACTGGATGCACAATGACCTTTTAAAGATGGCACAGAAACAAGGGATTCTAGTCTTTGTAATATATCTGCTGATTGGCACATTATTCCAGGAATGGTGGAGGATATAATGGGGGAGAAAATCAGATATGGTGTTGGCTGTGGAAATGGTGTCAGTAATTAATGCTTGGTTGAATTTGGTGAGTTATGATAAGAAACCTTGCTTGGCCTCATAGTGAAAAACCCTCTAAGAAACTCACCACAACTTGCACTTAGCCGAGAAAGGTAAGAGTCAGTCCATTCAGTTCTGAAAAAAGGTAACTGGACCCAAACATTAACACTGCTTTCTCTCCGCAGATGCTGCCAGACCTGCTGAATTCTTTCCAGCAATTCCTGTTTTTGTTTCAGATTTCCAGCATCTGCAGTTCTTTTGATTTTTTTTTTGTCTAAGACTCAATCCATTATTTGTGCCATTTACTGACTGTACTCGTCTTGCAGTTCTCATACCCAGGCCCAATATCCGCCAGTCAAATATTTAGACGTGAGTTAAGAACCATCATGTCCTAACCTTAATTACATATTATAATAACACTTGTAACAGGTGCAGTGGTAGTGTCCCAGGAGGCCTGAACTCAAATAACCTGCAGTAGAGAATAATATGTCTGAGCAAGTTGATTAAAAACAAATCCTAAAAGATTCTCATGGAGAAGGGCAAGATGGACATTTTCCTCTGAGCCAGGAGGCCAAGGTTCAAGTCCCACCTACTCCAAAGGTGTGAAATAACATCAATGAACAGGTTAATTAGAAAATATCTGTATTTGAACACATGCATCGTGAAGGATTGTGATGGTGACAGATGGTCAAAACTGAAGCTGCTTCTGTGTAGAATATCAAAGCGTGACCCTAATGCCACCATCAAGCCTTCGCTAATGTGTATATTAATTCCATTGACATCCAAATGATCTGATCAATTCACATTTGAGATGTTGGTGCATTACTTGTGATTTTTATTTTTAATAGTAAAATCCAACATTGAAAGTTGCCATAGTAAATATTTTTAAATTGTTAGATAAAATGTATGAAAAACAAAGTTTCTGATGGTGAGTGTACTAAATGTAAGGATTAGCTCTCTTACTTTCAATGTTTTTTTCTAGGTGAAAAATTTATGCATTTGAATTATCCAGACATCAATTATAACATGAGTTTGAACTATGAGAAAGAGGCAGAGTTCATGCATTCGCACATGATGGATCAAGCTATCAACAATGCAATTACATACCTTGGGGCTGAATCCCTCAGACCTCTGATGCAGCATCAACCCAGCACAATGGCAGAAGCAGTTCCAGTTATGAATGCTGCCTATTCTCAGGTATACCAGCCAAGCAGGCTTGAAAGGCCAAGCAGTAGAGAAATAACAGAAAGCCACGAAAATACAGTGGATGGCCCCATTTCTCTAATAAGAGCAAAAAATCAGACAGCAGAAAGAGGAATATCTCCTAGTAACAGCTGTTTAGATTCTACTGACACCGAAAGCAGCCATGATGATCGAAGTGGTCAACAATATCCTGGAATTCCAGCCTTTACTCCTCGGAACAAGCAAAGCCCCGCCTACACAAAGGATGAATCAAAGGCTATGGAACCAGCAAAAGTTTTGTCTCATACCTCTAAAGAGATATACAGGGTCTTCAGTAGTGAGGGCGAGCAGATTAGAGCTTTCACTTGTGAGCACTGTCGTGTGCTGTTTCTAGACCATGTCATGTACACCATTCACATGGGCTGCCATGGTTTCAGAGACCCATTTGAGTGTAACATCTGTGGCTACAGAAGCCAGGATCGCTATGAATTCTCATCGCACATTGTTCGAGGAGAACACATATTCCACTAGGCTTTGAGTTCTAAGACAATGATGAAAAACTATATTTTGACACCCACATTACAATAACTGTAAGGCAGATGTGGCCTGGCGACAGAAGATTTGCCTTGTTTTTACGATCCATGGACCAAGCATATACTGTAGTGAGTATATTTCACTCATTTGCAGTAATGTGATTTTTCACTCATACATTACTTTGTGGGAATTAAAATTAGCCCTTAGTTTATGAAAATGAGCTGTCAGTCATGTCATCTGAAGAATTTTGTATCATTCAATTCGGTCCTTGCGTAGGTGCCACTGTGACAAGCTAATGAACAACTCATATGTAGAATGATAATAAAGAAGAATGATGTAGGTTCAAGGGTGAACCATATCTTAAACTTCCTTAACTTCAAAATGGAGTAGGAATAAAAGATTAATACTCTTGTATGCAGCAATCTTCTAGAATTAATTTCTTTGTCTGTTTCACACATTCAAATTAACCAAGTGACGGTTCACTAAATTAAAAGCAAGCACTTGTTGGTTAATTTATACTTTTCAATGTTGATCAAAATAATTGAAAAGGGAAGTCTTATATTTAAGTTTTTGAATTTATGTAAAGTTGGCGAAAAAATATGAATCATTAGGTGAGGCCATCACTACTTGGTTAAGGGGTGAAACACAATTAATCACAGACTCAGTATTAATCCACTGATGGTGTTCCCTTTTTGACTATCACAGTCTTAACCTTTTGTGTCCTTAACTACATTTTCTTATAAGCCGAAGATGAATGATACAGTTCCACTCAGATGACAAGCCTGACAGCTTGTTTTGTGGCACTTGCTCTGTGAATAAAGATTACCTCTCACACTTAGGTTGCTTGTTGAAAGGGGCATCAAAATTAGGACCCAAACTATGCACTTACTGAAAATTTTCGTAAAGTACTGGAGACTATTGTTAATTTCTGAACATATAGCAACAAGGGAAGGATGTATTAAAACTCTGAAACTGTGATCATTCAACTGATTGTGAAGCACTGTCAGTTCTTAACCAGACTCACTTCCTGTTTCATGTAGCATTTTCTAATCTGGAACAAATGACCCTGTTCTAAATCCTTGGGCTTTTTTGTTGCTAAAGCATTAGGTATAAGCTGTTTACATATTTTTGTACTAAAGTGTAGTTTTATACATGAAAATGCTTGAAAAATAAAAGGTACATTAGCTTTGTAGTGCATTGCTACTGGAATCGGGTAACTGGAACCTCTTCCTTGGTTTGTTTCATGGTGGCAACATATGTTTTTTTTGCATAAAACTCTGGATGTACATTTTCCTTATAACATACCTTTGTAAGATGATTGAAACTTTAAACTTTTTATGCAATTATTTAGAAGGTTTCAGCATCGACAACTATAGTATGTTTTAAATCTTTTAAAATGCTTTGATTAAAAATTAAAAATAAAATTACTTTATTCCAATGTCAGGCGTTGGCAGCAGCTATTTGTAGCCTAAATTTCATTCTAATGAATTTTCCTCTCAATTCCTTGTCACTCAGTAGTATAAGCAACATAAGAGTCTATAACAGACTCTCCAAACTTGAACCGGTTTTGCTAAACAGGTGAATGCAGTTTTCAAGTGCAATACTTCCTTTTTTTCGGACTGTATAATGTATTTTCTCAATTTAGGAAATAGTTTATGTAAAATGTTTTTGAAATACATTAACTGATTCTTAAGACTGTATTGAAAATCCCTGTTACTGTGACCTAAATAACATGGCTTGTAAAAAATACAAAGTTGCAGAATCTTTGTTAATATTTTTTTAGGGAAAACTACTGTAAGGTTTGTACTGTCTGAGTGCACAAATACTGAAATAAATTTAGGGAACCTCAGGAATGAATTGTGTGTGTGTCTGGTTGTTTCACTCATTGCCACTACAAAATTTCACATGGAGGATTCAACTTGGTGAGACTTTATACACACAGATGAATCTTACAATTTTTTCATTCATTATCCACAAAATAAGATCTCATCCAAGCTCTTTAAAACTTGCAGGTATCATTTGTCCTTACAAAGCTAAACTTGTTTTGCATTTTAAGAAACTTTGGTCCAATTAAATTTTAATAGATCAATATAAGAGTATTAGAAATTAGAAACTCTCTCACCTAAAAAAAGCTATTGAGACTGGTGGCCAACAGAAAATTTAAAAATTGAACCGGTTAGACTTTTATTTTGGTAAGGATTATAAGGGTTACAAAGTCAAGGTGGATAGTTAGAGTTAAGGTACTGAGCAAATACAATCAAATTGAATAACAGACAGATTTGTGGGGATGAATATCCTACTTTTGCTCATATTTTTCTATTACATATAATGAAAAGTCAAATATTAAGGGTTGGATTTTTCGTGAAATCAGGAAGAGTCAGTGAACCATTAAAAATGGCTGACAGTCTCTACTGTGGAAGTCCCAACCCCCTATCTCCAGCATCTGATTTTTACTGGTAAGAGAAAAAGGGCAGGATATGACTCATACAGGAGATAAAACCAAACTCAGCAGGGCCATTTGACCAGTACTGAGTTCAAATAGACTTCATTTTGGCTCGCCCAAAGGCCTTAACCTATCGTGTGTAGTTCACAAACTTGTGTATGAGACAAAAATGTTCTCAAAGGACAAATAAAGTCTATTAAAGTGCAATTATTAAATCCCCACTCTTCAAAAATGAAAAAAAAAGGCTGAACTTGCATGTGCAAACTGAATATAAAGCTCGCTGTTAGAGTGCTTTGATTGACAGGCCATCTGGTGTCAGAACAAAACATAACCATCTGTTCATGCAGGTTCAATAGAGATCATTAAAGGCATTTACCTGAGGACTATTTTGATGTCATTATAAATACTTGGCTGAATGTTAACAAAAATCCTCTGCAAGGATTCTCACATCATAGTTTGATTGACAGTTTAAAGAAGCTACTAAAGGATGAGATGTCTTTGGACCATCTGAATAGCAGCATTTTTTGAAAAATTAATGAACCACGAGGAAATTTAAAAGTTGGAGAATATTTTCACAAATGGGAGTTATTTACATTCTCAAATGTGCAGGCGTGAGAATTAGGTTGTTAATTATTTTTGTGATCATTTCCACGTGGCTTATTGTATCTATGGGGATAGTAGGTGGATATATCATGAAGTGGCAAGTGGGAGGAGTGGGAGATGTGAGGTAGATAGAGGGCATAAGTGATCAAAGAGAGGGAATGGGGGTATGAGGGACCATAAGTCAGCATAGGGATATTGTGAGTAGTGAAGACTAGATGGCTTAACTTCTGAAACAAGTGGGACAAAGAACCAAAGAATCAATTTCAGCCTTCTAAGCAGTTCACTTCCGAACTTGCCCACCCCCTCGGCTGCCTATGATCTGCTTCCAGGTTTGGTGGGCCTGACTTGATCCACATACCCCCGAACTAGACTAAAAATTGGATCCAACTGCAAACTTTCAACTGAAGTGTGTTTTGCTTTGGTAACGAAGATCCAGCCCTGTATCTGTAATTAGATATTTTGGGAAGCTATGTTTCCTCATGGTAGTCACTTTAAAAATGATCGCAATGAGGCTGTTCAGCAAACTAAGTCCTTAAATCATGCATGTGTTCCTGTATTGATGGTGCTTATGAGGTCAGGTTCATTATTTGTTTTGTTGTCCTTTCCTGGCGCGTGGACTCCCTGCCAGGGCTTGGCTTCATTGAGGGGCAGCATGGTGGCTCAGTGGTTAGCACTGCTGCCTCACAGTGCCAGGGACCCAGGTTCAATTCTTGCCTCGGGTGACTGCAAACTCCACATAGACATTCTGCCCGTGTCTGCGTGGATTTCCGCTGGGTGTTCCACTTTCCTCCCACAGTGCATAGATATGCAGGTTAGCTGAATTGGCTATGCTAAATTGCCCATAGTGTTCAGGGATATGTAGATTACATGGGTTACAAGGGTAGGGGGATGGGTACGGATGGGAAGCTCTTTGGAGGGGCAGTGTGGAAGGACCTGTTTCCACATTGTAGAGATTCTGTGATCTATGAAATTGGTTTCCGTACTAATGAGAAGCAATTTGACAACTCAATCAACTAATTATGGACAGTTCTGAGGAAGGGTCACCGGACCCGAAACATTAACTCTGTTTTAATCTTCACAGATGCTGCCAGACCTGCTGAGCTTTTCCAGCAAATTTGTTTTTGTTCCTGATTTACAGCATCCACAGTTCTTTCGGTTTTTAATTATAGGCATTTAGCTGAACCTCATGTAAGCTCAACTGATTTGCAACACTTACATTGTGGGAATGCCTCTGGAGGTTACATTAGATTATAACTAAGTGTACTGTCTTGCATGTGACAGGGATCATTACCTTGTGAGTGTTTCTTCTCCCTCAAAGTACGGTGGCAACAAATATAAATGACGACCAGTGTAGCCATTTCAATCAGACCAGATTAAGCTTCAGCCCTACTCAAGGAGTGTAGCAGTACAGGTTTTCACTTTGTTCACTTATGTGATTAGTTCTGCAGTCTTGAGGAACATCATTGGTCAAGATTATCAAGTTAAGAATACGACCGTTGAGTTGCTGTATGTCTGCCAAAGTCTGGCTCAGAGCCTGACCAAGGATTGTAATGTGTCTAGGGCATGGAGGCTGGTCATGTGAGGCATAGTGTCCGAAAAAGGGAGGTAGGTTGTTTGGGACCCAGAGCTTGACCAAAGAAAACAGGATGTCCAGGCAAAAAAGGAAGAGTAATGTTTTTGGGTGCATATGGTGTTCCACCAGGTGAGCCGAGGAAGGGGTATCCGTGCAGAAGATGATGGTAGAGAAGTGAGACTACAGGGCGGGATCGGGAGCTTTCCAAGTGGGATCCCACGAATTAAACTGAGGATACTGGACAGTAAATGGAACCATGCAATTGAGAAAGGTGAATGGTTGTTTTCTTAGCGGTGGCTCATGGGACATAATAGAACAGGCATCTTAGATAATGGGAAGGTATGAGCAGGGTGAGAGTGGGCATAGAGGTGATAATGGATATGGGCGCAGGCAAGAGCAGGTATGTGAATGGTGACTCTTGGGAAAGGGAGAACAGTCTGGATACTGGACCATGCAGGGGATGTCCACATGTAAAAATCATGTGTAGAATGATGGTGGGGAGTGGAAGGGTCATACTAGGTAGGGTCTTTCTGAGGTTGTAATGGTAACTGCTGGAAGCTCGTGGGTGGCAGTGGGAAGACAGAAGACAATGGTCAGTTTAGGGTTAAGGGGAAGGTGAGGGCATCAATGTGTTAGGATGGAACATTGAGTGTCCTGGGTTGCAGGAGCATTACTGTGGCCATTTCAAAGGGTCTCCGGGATGTGCCTCAGAGGCAATGGAAACAAGCTCAATAGCGGTCGAAGGTAAGTGCATAGGCATGGCTTCCATTTTCCAGGTCAGTGCTCTGTGACTATATGAAGGGTTCATGGTGGGTAGCAAACAGTGCTGGTTACAGGGACTCCCATTGACAATAATGCTCAGAACAGAGGAAGAACTTCAAAGAATCTGCTGACCAGGCAGATCATCTCAGGCAGACATATGATGAGACAATTAAACCCTGTGCTCCTACTGCTATGGTGCAGCTATTGAGGAACTGGCAGAGAATGCTTCACAGCCAGGCACAGACAATGGCCAGACCAGCAAGATGCAACAGTGGTAGAGGGCCAAGCAGTAGGGGACCTTGGCAACCTGGGACCAGTAGACCATGAGCAATGGCTTACAATTACACATGTACAACTATTTGCAAATATCTGAGAGACAATACCAGAGTGAATTAGGGTGCCACTGGATGCCAACATGCACTGATGACAGCTTCTCCATGAAGCTTTGTGACTGCAATAGTTAGGAGACAATCTATTACCAGTAATGCTTAACATCACAGTGGCATTGACCATTTTCACCAGAGGTTCTTTCCAGGGCTCCATGGACATCCAATATGGAATATCCCAATATGTCAGACACAGGTCAGGGAGGTGACAAATGCCCTGTTCAGGAGGGCAAATGATTTTGTCAAATTCACTGCTGACCTGAGAACTAGACAGCCAGAGCTGTGGGATTTGCTGGCATCACAGGATTCTTACAAGTCCAAGGCACAATTAACTGTACACATTAACAGAGAGCTCCTGGGATCATTCATCAGCATTCACTAAAAGAAAGAGGCTTCACTTTCTGAATGTGCAGCTAGTCAGTGACCACAAGAAACAAATCCTTTGGTGTGTGCACAACCTATGGAGCCCTCACAATACGTAGATCCTCACACAATCACAAGTGCCACAAGGTTTTCCTCTATTTCATTGCCTACACTAATGGCTTGTGAGTGATTCTAAAATTCAATACTTCTAGTAAATAAGGACCGGACTTGTTGTGAAGATTTGAATAGTTTGCTCCAAATAATTTGGGGGTCACTGAAGAGCAGTTCAAAGATTCCAGGAATTTGTGTGTGTGTTTGTGTGTATATACGCATGCGAGGGAGAGAACAGGTTCAATGTTAAGCAGTGCTTTAGGCTAGTTGGACTGCTGACAATATAAGTGAACTACACTGGTACCACATAATCCAGGCACAGGGAAAAGTCCAAAGTGTTGTTGGATTATTCTGTGCAATTAGAACTCAGGAAAAAGTTTCAGAAGCCAGTTGATGCAGGTGAGCAACATTTACAGCTTGGAAAAAAAACCCAGGGACAGTACCGTCTTGATGAAGCTAGCTGACTGTGAAAAGCTGGAATTATGCCTGTAAGTGGTAAAGTACAGTTTCCAGAATCCAAGCTAATCCAGAACTAGGCAAGGAAGGGCAATTACAAGAAAGTGAACAGTCACTTAGACAGTCCATAATGGAGT